GGCTGGTGTCTACCGCCTGCCTCAAGGCTCCAGCGCTCCTCCGTGGCGATCAAAGCCAACCAACACTGGCACATCCGCGGGTCGAGGGTGGCGCACAGCGAGCAGCGCTGCTTCTGCTGTGCTGAATCATCGGCTCGTCTGCCAGCGGAGGCTCAGAGTGCCGCAGGGACGCCTTTGATAACAGGGGAAGGGGAAGAGGTGATTTGCATTCAGTGTCAAAACATAATTTCCAGGACTCCAGCAGCTCAAACACCGCTGCATCGAGCTGATGGGAAGCACACTGCTATTTTAATTTCACGCTACACATCCTGGACCCAGCTCTCAGAATAGAAGCGTAATGGTTTTGTGCTTTACTGCGACACGTTTGTTCTGATCAGCTGGTTCACAGCGAACAGCTTTTACGTAACCGGATTATGTAAATGTCACGTTCTTCCTAATATCCAAGATGACTTCAGGGTAAGTGAGCGTGATATTATTCAGTTTGTAAACTTTGCCTTTTCTGTCTTCCGTCGCTCTTTGAATTTACAGCATCTTTATGTGAGGAAACATCCCACACGCTCCCCAAACACCTCAGCCCGAGCATCGCAATGCTGAGCAGGAAAGATGGCAGAGGAGAAAAACGCAAGTTTCACCACGAACTAGTTTCCACGTGAAACGAGGGGAAACACGCAAATGCAGGACGCTCAGAGAAAGAGCAAAAACAACAAAGGTCCGTGAAGAACACGAGGGATGTTGGAAGGCCTGGAAACCGAGCTAGATCTGAACAAGAGCCTCACGGCCACTTAGGTACAGCAAGTATCTAATAAGCCAATCACGGGGCAGCATTTAGGCACGTGGAGACGTGGAGAAGATGACCCGGAGTCCAAGCTGAGCAGCAGATATCAGCGACTTTGACTGATGCGTGGACAAGAGTCGGGCCGGTTGGAACGAGCAGAGCTTGACCCAAGCGTCCCGGTAAACGGACACTCACACGTGAGGCGCCTGCTGTGACCGCTTGACTGCTCATTGCTGCACGTGCAGGTTTGTGGCAGTGAATACCTGCGCGCGTGGAATTGTTGGTGAATATGTTTGACCTTGCGCAGCATTTAAACAAAACTCTGACTCCATAGTTTTGTCTCTCAGACAGCTCGGACCAAATCTATCTTAGCACTGCTAAATCTCAGATGTGCATCAAACTTTCATGGTCCACATTTCTGACGTCTGTGCGCGGACCGCTCTGATATTTAGCTTCATATGTCCACCATGTATATCCACCCATGTTCATAT